TTTTTCTTTTACTGGGGTATTGGTTTTCATAACCATTTGTCCCCATAACAAGGGGCACTGGTGGTAATACTGGGAAACTGGAGTGTCTTAGGAGATTGCTTGTGAGACTTGCGGTTAGCCAGTGGGGTGAGACCGAAGTCCTCCTAGTCTGGCTGGTTTGGTTTGCCTTAGAGGTGGAAAAAACCCCAGCCTTGGGCTGTAACTGCCCTGTTTGAGCAATTTGTCCTGAGTTGGCACTCTCAGGTGGGTTCCGCCAGAACCGCATTGTCACAACTGGGGCCTCCTCTCCTCGCTTCTGTCCTCTGGCTGGAACCGGCTGGTTCGGTCACTGGGTCCTCACTCTGCAGCCCATTGTCCTCCCACTGGCCAGAACCGGCTGTGTCTCCTCAGCTGGGTCTCCGGGTCGGGGTCTCAGGTCACCGATCGCTGGGGTATCCATCCTCCAGGCCATTGGCTGGGGCCCCAAGTTCCCTCTCCGGTCCTGTGTACCAACAAACTCCCTCTCCCCTCACCTCGTTAAACCAGTAACACCCAGGGAAACTGAGTCCCACCCCCTCCACATGCAAACCATTGAAACCCCACCGAAAACAAGAAAATCCCCCACTTCGTCACAGCATCATGCACATGTACCTGTCCCCAACAGGTGTGTCACTCCTGTGCACGTGTTTACTTGTAGCATGCAAGTGTGCATTTCTGTGTGTGTGTGAGTGTGCATGGAGGTGTGTGTGTAAGTGAGTATTTGATGTGCGAGTGTGCACCTGTGTGTGTGTGTGAGATCCTGCATGGCAGGGTGCCAGTGTGCACCTGTGTGTGCGAGTGTGCACCTGGGCGGTGTGCATTTCTCTGTGTGTGCATGAGCATGGCGATGTGTGTGTGTGCACCTGTGAGCGCACGCGCTCCGTGAGTAATGTTTGCCCAGTCCCAGAGGCCTGCCTGGCACGTCACAAGCAAATATAATCGACAGCTCGCTGTGCTGCAGAGACATTTACAACCCAGCCGGACACAACATGCCTGGGGCTGCATGTAAACACAGGGAAGGAGAAGGGACGCTGTGGGGGGTGGGGGGTCATCAGCCCCTCTGGTGCCTTATTGTGTTAATGTAATAATACTTTTCTATTTGATGACAGCATCTGGGCTGTGGGGGGCCTGGAGCGAGCAGGGCTGGGGGCCAGTGAAGGGGCCCAGAGTGAGTTATGGAAAGTGGGGTGCACTCAGAGAGAACGGGGTGCAGCGAGCTCAGGGGGGCTGGGCTGATTTGCCGGGGAAGGCGGTAGGAGCCCAGCCAGTGACGAGAGGGCCGGTTTGGGGGCAGGTGTTTCGTCGAGAGCCGTGCAGCCGTCTGTTGGGTCCGGTTCAGGGCTGCTGGGCTGTGGGTGCTGGGGGTAGCTCTGGGTAACATGCGGGTGGACCCATCATTGGAACAAGCCGGGCTTTGCCCCGTGGCTGCGGGTGCGGCCTGGGGCCAGGCGGGAGGGGTTGATGGAGACAGGGGTTGATGGGACATGGCTCCAGGGTCGGGCCGGTTCCTGTCGCTCGCCCGTTAGTCCGAAGGTGGCAGGCGGAGGAGGGGCAGGAGCGGATGCCCAACATCTGGAGAGCATCGTGCCTGATGTGGGAGATGCGCCGGAGCCTCGGTTGGCAACGCTGCATGGAGGCGGCTCCATGGTTCGGGCAGAGCCGGGGAGGTTCCTGGCGGGAGGGTGGCCAGTGCCGGGATGCAGTGTGCCGTGGGGTGGGCCCTGCTCCCAGAGCGGGGGGAGCTCCCCGCACTCGGCGCTGAGGCTCAGCGGTTTGTGTGTGTGGCTCTGTGTCGGCTGCGCTGGGGGCTGCCTGCGAGGCCCCCGGACGGGAGGCGAGGCCTGCGACAGACCTGTAGGGCTGCACACCTCGGGCCGGGGGAACGTTTACACCCTTTGAGGCAGTTTCCCTGTCCAGACGTCCAGGGGCTCCTCACTTACGCAGGGGACTGGAGCAGTGTGTACAGGGGGGCTGAGAGCCACCCAGCCAAACTGCAAACCCTGGCTCAGATGGGAACCCCTGCAAGCCGGGGGTGCAGCAGCCCCCCAGCCCCTATAGACTTATGGCTTCCTGCGCAGCTGAGCGTGGAGGGGAGCAGATCTGGCGGGGAGCCAGGCTGAGCGTTTGGAGGCTTGAGGTTGCAGGAGGTTTTAGGGTTTGAGTCCTTTAGATCCGCCGGCCGGGTGCTCTCGCACGGCTCGGGGCCCGTCGGTGTGTCAGCCTCTCCTGGGGTCAGTCCCTCGGCTTCACCGCCTCCTGGAGCCTTCAGCACCCCTGGGTCACGCCGGGAGCTCCCTGCCATGACTCCACCTGGATTGGACACCTGGGGAGACTTACACCCCCAAGGGAGCCATGCGCCCCAAGGTCCTGACTCTGCAGTGACTCAGCCGGCGCTGGGACGGCAGGAGCGTTAGTAGATGTCTGGGCCAGGCCTTAGCTTAGCACAGAGAGTTACAGCAAAGTCCATCCGGGTCAGACCTCACCCAGAGCCCTCTGACCCCCCGCTCAGCCCGGCGCAGCAGAGCCCTGCTTCCAGCGGCCCTCGCAACAACCCCCAAGGGCTGCTCCTCCGTCTCTTGTTCCTGTGACCAGGCAAACGTGGGCCCCCGGCCATCCTCCTTCGTCCTCACAGCTGGCTGGCTTCCTGCAGGGCGTGGCCCCCTGCTCCTTAGTTGCTAGGTACAGAATGGCCGGGCCATTGTCTGGGTCCAGACCCCAGATGACAGTCACACCTAGGTCTCTGCAGAGCATAAACAACCCCCACCCCACACCCAGTTAACCATGCAGCACAGAGGGGAAACTGAGGCACATACAGTCGTCATACACAATATTCTCATTCTGTCAGGGTGTAACATTCTCCCTTAAGCATCGGCTGGGCTGGTGTTGGTTCCTGGGTAATGGAGGGTGTCACGGAGTCCCCGGGCGATGCTCTGGAGCTGCTCCCTACGCAGCCAGGCAGGGCTCTGGGGAGCCTCCTCTCCCTGAGCAGACTGTCTCCAGGGCAAGAAGCTCACACGGCTTCACCTTCCTGGATCTGACTTCAGAGCATTCAACACCCCTTCCACACCAAGCGCTTCCTGCAGGGAGTCCACCTGGGCGGGGCTCCTGGGGCAGCCACAGGGCCCTGCCCCCCCCCCCACTTCTTGCAATTCCCCATGACTCTCAGCCAGCCAGTAAAACAGCAGGTTTATTAGTCGACAGGAACACAGTCCAAGACAGGTCTTGCAGGTACAGAGAACAGAACCCCCTCAGTCAGGTCCATCTTGGGGGCAGGGAGCCCAGACCCCAGTTCTAGGCCTCCCTCCGTTTCCTCAGCCAGCTCCAAACTGAAACTCTCCAGCCCTTCCTCTGGCCTTTGTCTCGTTTCCTGGGCCCACCTGGTCACATCCGCCTCCTCGGTCTCAGGTTACACAGGTGCAACTAGCTGGGCAGCCTCACCTCCCCCGAGGGCCTCAGCAAACTCACACCCCCAATTCCCACCCCCGCAGTATGGTGCAGCACACAGGGAAACTGAGGCACACACCGTCTTTGTATAGGCCAGTAAGATGAATAAAACCCCACTCGTCACAGAGGGGTCTGAAATCGAAGCAACCCCCCAGTGCTGTCATTGGTGGAGGCGTTGGCCCTGTGCCCATATTCACGGTGCTCACGGGGGTGTCCAGCTGCCGGGGCTGCTGGCCCTGTCTCCATAGCGACGTGGCTCTTTGTAGGTGGTTTTATTGCCAGGAGCTTGTTGGCCAACATTTACTAATTGTTATTGGGGGGGTGGGGGGGGGGCATGTCCTGGACTGAACGGGGCATGGAGCAGCACGTGCTGAGGGCCGCCGAGGTGGCCCCACGCTGAGCACCCAGCCGCTGCCAAGGCTTGTGGGGGCTCCGGGTGGCCATAGGGGGGTGACGGTAATTGGGAGCTTTTATTTGCTCAAGAGCCTCTGGGCCTCGGGAGCCTGGTGCTTTGGCAGGGCAGTGGGGGGGGCTCCGCTCGGAGACCATTGGGATGAACCCCCAGTGGAGGCTCAAGAACATCTATTGGGGCCACCCACTTGAGGCCTTTCCCGGTGCAGGGTCATTTCAATGCCATGAACCCCAGGAAGGCTCTGGAGGCCTGATCAGAGGCACGTTTCTAGTGTCGGACAGTGGCCGCGTCGGCAGAGCCGGACCAGACGTGTTCTCCAAAAACCTCAGTCTGGCAGCCAGGCCAGCGCCATGAATTGGTGCCGAAAACCCCGGAGAACATCAGGGCTGCACTGTTGGAAAGTCGCAGGCACATTTGTCAACCCCAAGGGCATCAAGCGCTCGTCAAAGTGACTGTAACACGTTTGAAAGGTGCCATTCGTCTCCAGTACTAGCTTCTGGGTGGTTGCATGCGTAATGCAGACAGAGCCCGGTCGCCGTCGGCAGGCGGGAGCAAACCTGGGATCTCTGGAGCTTAGCGCATGGGCCTCTACTGCACGAGGTCAAAGCCAGCTGGCTGTTAGCTACAGCTGCAGAGCAGACTCATTTTCTCTCTAAGTGGTCTCGGTGCCACTAGACGGGACAGAGCCCCACCCAGGAGGTGGGGGGGTTACGCATGCCCCCGGGGTCTAGCTTTGTGTATACCCAGGCGGCACGCACGCAGTCCAGTCACTCGGGGGTTAGGGTAACAGGAATTGGTTTCTAATCATGACCGGATTCAGGGCTGATAGTCAACACGTAGTTGGAACTTTCCATTTGTTTTCTAAACGCTGAGGCCTGGTGCCCGGCCAGCGAAGTGCAGCTTTGACTCAAGCCCTTGTCTAGGGTCTCCTGAAGGTAGCTGCCCAGTGTGGCTCGTTTGGGCTCTGCCGTGTGCCCGGCTGTAGCTCGGGTGGGCTGGCATAGTCCCTGCGCCTGTCCATACGCTCTCCGAGACATCTCCCTAATCACTGTACCTGGCCAGCTGTGAAGGGCTGGACTCAGGGGGCGGCTCTGGGGGGCTCCTGGGTGCTGTCCGGTTCCCCCAGGCAAGCTGGGCTGCTGGCACACGGGCTCAGAGGGGAACACAGGGGGCTCTGACCAGTCGGGTCACTTGCTGCCTTTGGCTAGTAACCTCGAGAGGGTCACTGGCCCAGAGGATAAGGGGACCCTGCCCAGGTGCCACCGGCAGCCCCATGGAGAGCAGGCGCTGCAGGACGTGCCAGCCCAGAGACCCGGCGTGGCAGTACCCGGGGGCCCGCTGACTGGCCTGGAGCGACCCCAGGATGTTGTCTGGGACCTGCACAGACTTCGGGCCCGCGGTGGCTCCAGCCTCTGACCCCGATTCCAGCCAGGCCCTGCCTCCAGCCCCAGCCTGACGTTGACTCCAACTCTTCCTCATTGAACCTCCAACCCCTGCTCACTGTGCCGCCAGCCCACCTGCACCCCGGCCCCTTACAGGGGAATCGGCCGGGCCTGGGCTGTGTCTGTGGCTGCTGTGCCCGAGCCGCTAAGGGCCTGCGGCGAGCGAGCGGCTGGGGCTGGTGGGCACTTGCAGGGGCAGGGTCCTGCCTGCGCTCGGAGAGCTGATGCCAATACTCGTAACAAGACCCTGTGGCCACGCTCGGGCCGGGTCCTCCTTGGCGTGGTCCCACAAGGCCTGTTGAAACAGCCTCGTTCCACTGCGGGTCCGACGCGAGCCAGTGGACGCAGTGCATGGGAAGAGGCTGTGCATGGGCGGGGCCAGTGCCCCCTGCTGAGCCCCCCGCCCCACAGCACCCCCCCCCCTCTCCCTGCCCCACAGCACCCCCTAGCGCCGCCCTGGGGCCAGCCCTGACTGCCAGGGGAGAGTGCCCCCTGCTGATCCCCCTGCTCCACAGCACCCCCTGCTGAGCCCCCACCCCTCTCCCTGCCCCACAGCGCCCCCTAGTGCCCCACGGGGCCAGCTCTGACTGCCAGGGGAGAGCGCCCCCTGCTGAGCCCCCACCCTTCTCCCTGCCCCACAGCACCCCCCTCGCGCCGCCCTGGGGCCAGCACTAACTGCCAGGGGAGAGCGCCCCCTGCTGATCCCCCCT